CCCAGGGGTCACGATTAAGACCCTCCAGCATCTCCTGTCTTTTTTCTTCTTTGGCGCGGCTAATGGCCAGCTTCAGAGTTTTCCGCGCCTGTCGGTACTCCTCGTATGCGTATTCGCGAAAGCGACCAGCCCCCACGTCGACCTCCTCGGTCGGAGCCTGAGGAGACAGCCACGAGTGAATTATGGCTGCCTCCTCTAGTAGGTCCCGGTTCAGTCTGGCAACAGCCCACCGCGGAAAGCGGGATAAACGCCGCGCCACGTGACCCCTACTGGAGTCCTGGGTCCGGGAGAGCTCAAATCGGATATACAGGTGATCCGAGAGCGTCTCAACCTCTTCCAGGACACGCCAGTTCCTTACTCGTGCGGCGAGGGCAGGGGTAGCGAACGAGAGGTCCACTATCGACTCCCCCTGCTGTCGCACGCACGTGTTGGTGGAGCCTCTGTTGAGAAGACAGAGGCCCACCGAGGCCGCCCACTCCTCTACGGCCTCGCCCCTTGCGTCCGTCCTGGGGGAAACCCACGCAATGGACTTTGCGTTGAAGTCCCCCAGCACAAGGACGTGCCCAGACGCTAGTCGCCGTATCGAGGTCTCCAAGCTGGTTAGGAAAACCTCGAAGTCGTTCAAACTCCGGTTGGGGGAGAAATAAACGCCATATATGGTGATCCCCCCCACTCGACGGCAACATATCCAGTGCCCTTGTCTCTTAGCGACAAGGGCGGGGAATGAGCCGTCGTGGAACCGACGACTGCCACGGAGCCGTCCCAGTCACCCATCCAGTTTGGACGGGGAGGGACAGATTAGGGCTCCGCGACTACGGCAACACCTATCGAACACTGTGCCATGGTTTGCAGGAAGAGATCCTGCGCCGCGGCACAGTAGTTCAGGTTCGTCTGGACCAGGAGGTTGGAAACTTGATCCATTACTGGATCGTCTCTACAACCTCCTCCATGGGCGACGACGTCGACGCAATATTGACGTCGGGGGTAGCCTGGGTCGACTGGCTAGCCCCTGACGTCTGCCGAGAACTGCGGGGAGGCTTGCAGCCTCTCTGCCCCATCTGGTGATTGGCGGGCTTATTGCCCGCCGCACACGCTGGGCAGTGAGGGGCGGCAGAGCATTCTTCCTTATGCCCCGGTTAACCGCAGCGGAAACACAGTCCGCCGCAGTCAAAACAACTGTCGCACTTGACGCGCGTGTGTCCCGTGGCCAGGCATTTAAAACACCTCATCGGTCTCGCCGCCAGGACTGTGATCCTGGCGCTCACGAAACCGATGAGCAGCCTGCCGGCGTCGGCCAATACTTTGGCCGGCGCTACGGGACAGCTGACCCACACGGCGCCAACCCCTCCTGGACCGGGGCGGATGGTGCCGACCCTGACGTTGTCCGCGCTGCACCCCGTCTTCTCCCGGATTACAGCGCGGACATCTTCGGCCGTCACTGAGTCGTCCAGGCCCGAGATGCGCAGTTCCGCGCACTTGGTAGGCCTGGCGACCCTGACACCATCTGTGGCCGCAAATATTCCCCGCAGCCTCTCAGCGAAGGAGTCCGCCGTCTTTGCGCCTTCAGCCCCAGGGAACTCGAGGACTCGAGCTCCCGTCTGGGCGAGGTGCATCCTGACCCACACCGTCCCAAACTCGTTGGCGAGGCTGTCCCGGGCCTTTTTGAAGACGGCCGCGTAGGACAGCCCGCCGTCCGCCGCCTCCGGGGACACGGTCACCACTACAGCCGCGGTTTTGGGCGGCTGCAGCTTCAGCGGCCTCTTTGCAGAGGCCGTTGCCACCGGTGGCGAAGGCAGGGCTTGGGCTGCTTTTTGGGCAGCCCTTCTGGCCCGCCTTCGGGACTTCTTGGAGCCCCTCGCCTCCTGCCAACCCTCGTTGGAGGGCGCAGGTGCGGAGGGGCCCGGCAGGGGTGTCGGAGTGGGGAGCGGAGGGAATGCCACTCCGCTCCTCGGCACCGTTTTAGGCCCCGTCTTGGCCGGCACTTTGGCCTGCGCCTTGGCCGGCGCCTGGGACGGCGCCTTGGCCGGCGCCTGGGCCGGTGCCTTGGCCCCCCTCCTCGGCTTTTGTGGAGCCGATGGAGTAGGGGCAGACGCCGCCGCCGCGTAAGAAACGCGGCCTCCCACCACGGGGAGCGCGGTCGGAGCGGCGGCCTTAGGCCGCTGTGCCGACGCGAGCGGGGGGCGCATAATCGGCGCAGGGGGCAGTCTCGCCTCCAGGCCAGCCAGGCGTCCGTCCAGCATATTCTCAACTGCGATGAGGATTTCTCGCAGTTGGGAGTCAAATGCCCCTGAGTTGGTGGTAGGGGCAGGCTGGGACGCGGACGGGGCTTCCCGCTCGGGGAGGTTCGCCTGGAAGCGAGCGAACTGAGCGCTCAGCTCGTTCACCCGCTCCGTCAGCCTCTCGTTGGCCACCTGTAGGCGCGAGACGTCGCCCACTAGGCCCTCCACGACCTCCGACAAAGCGGAGGAGGAGTCCTTAAGGGCCCTCACAAACGAGCCCTTAAGGTTCACGGACTTGGTGGCCACCTTGTGGATGACGGCCACCGCCGCTTTCGCCCTCTCCTGCACGGACACGGGAGCCTGGGGGGCATTTCCCCCCACCGGCTCCCGAACCTTGAGCAGGAGATCCGCGATCTCCTCCCCCGCTACGGCCTCGCCGTCCACCCGTACGTTCCTGTACGACTCCGCGTTTGAGAACGCGGAGCCTGACGGGGTCGAGACCGAGGCCGAGGCCGGTTTGCGTGCCCTCCCAAACCCTATATCAACCCGTCTGGCTAGCGTGGTATAATAGGCCAAAACCTTCTTTCTAAGGAGAGGCCTATGTCCAGCAGTGGGCTATTGTAGGCTGTTGTGTTGTGATTGTATTACTAACGTGAGAGTTGTCTTTTAAATGAAAACCTTAGGATACGTTTACTCTTCAATAATACTTCAGTACCACTTTATTCAGTATTTTATACATTTAACCTGTCGTTCTCAATTCGCTAAATAAGTTCTGTCCACAGTGAACACTGCACAAGTTTTCCACATGAAAAGCCGTCATTCCATTGCATTCTGAATTCAATGGGAGAGAGCTTTCTTGGCGAAAATTATACGACACGGCTCTCAACGCATTTAGATTTCATGAGGACATCTTTATTTTGACTGTGAATGACTGGATTTACATTTGTGTATCTGTGGCTAAGTGCAGCTGAGATCATGAATTTCATAGAGAATTCTTTACTCATAGTCAAAATCTAAATTATTCCGTAAAAATCAAATTAAAAATTGTAATAATAATTCAAATATGTATATTTTTTAAACTTTACGCTAGCGACAACAATTTCAAGGTCCACGAATTGCAATTCGATCGAAAGCTCAGGTAAACTTTTGTAATTTTAATTCTTATAACATTTATAACAGAAAAAAACAGAACAGATCAACACAACTTAAATCTTCAAATTCAGCACCTACTTTCTATTTTTAGGTACCTATTTTTGTGTGTATATGTTGAGTTTTGTACTCAATAAGATACATTACAAAAGTATCTGCTTTATTTTTAATATATTGCCAATTCACCTGTATGCACCGACAAAATTTATGATTTTTGCCTGTTGAACCTTTTCTAATTATCAGTCTTCCATAATACAGGTCGGAATATCGAAAACATGCGGTAATTGAAATTGTTAGATTACCCGATTAAAACTTCCTATTCCGTTTACTAAACGTATAAAACTCTTCATGTTTCGAAAAAGTTTCAGAGCAGTTAAATTTAATATGGCATGATTAACAGCTGATTAAAATTTTAACGCCTGCAAGAAAACTTACAGCAATAAATTGCGAGTAAACAGCTTGCTCTAAGAGATATTCTTTGCTTTCTCAATTTCATATATTGAAAAGAATTAGTATTTTATTTATTGTACTAATTAAAAAGTAACCTAAAGTGTCACAATCGATATGTTCATACTGAAATAAATATTAATAACTAATTCAAAATATAGGAGACATAACACGTTTGATACATCTTTCCAATCTTTCAATGGATTTCAGATGTAATGTTGCCAATGAATCCTGCTGAAACGTGTTACAATTGCTACAGCAAAAATATTGATACATATAATAAAATATAAAAAAAAACGTAGAGAATTACCTAGGGAGTAGGTACTCATGAAAATCATGTGACGTAAATTAATTACAACCAAAAATGCCAACAAAGTAAACCAGCGCTGGCCACTCTGAGCGCATCTAAAACGAATGTGTCGTATTTCTTAGACAGAAGTTGGCGCGGTTCCAAACACCAGTTTCTTAAGTTTATTTTGAGTATACCGCGTTCAGTTGACGACGCGATAACCTAATCGATTCAACGAATTGAATTTGCATCCATTTGTTCTGACTACACGATATTGTAGGCAAGAATATATATTTTATATAGTGTTATCACAATGTAACTTTAAGTTCACCCAAATTGTTTGTATTGTTCTAAATTGTGGAAGCCTGGAATTCGTATGATCACTCAAAATGTACGTACACATCGTGTGTAGTTTGATTCTAATATGACCCAAATTATTGATAGAAGTTGATAATGAACAAACTTATATTAATAAAGGAAGAGAGTTTGAGTTGTTGCCGACTAACTTAGGAACTAATAATACTTGTAATCAGTGGCATGCTGTTTTCGCTTCGATATAGCTTGTTGAAAAAAATTTATATAGAAATACATGCGAACTTTAAACACGAAGTCACCATGTAGAATAAATATATGAATGTATAATAGATATTTAAAAGTTCAATAAATAAAAAGTAAGTTTTATATTTATTTTTTTCTACAAAAAAAAAACAAAAACCTAACCTTAATGCTAAGATATTTGCAGGTACATAAAAAGTGTAATAATCCTCATTATGGTTTCCACCGTGGTGTGGGGACAGAAAGGCAAATGTAATCAGAAGCCCCCCTCGGCAACTACCGACACTCCAAGTAAAAATACTGACATTTACCACTTAGATATACAGACTTCAGGATCCTTGATGGGGAGGGACGCTAAAAACTTTTATACACCAGCACAAACTTATGTTTGTAAGTAATTGTTAGCACTCGTTTTAGTATCAATTCCAATCATTCCCAATTATTCTGTCAAACCTTGTTCTGTCAATTCTGTCAATTGATTTCGTCTTGATCGTAATTATTACATGATAAACATTTTTGCATAGGTTGCACCACTTGATGTAATATAAGTCACAATAATCGAAACATTACAATATTAAATACTAGCCAGCTTGGAGTATTTCAAAAGAAGACCCGTCATTATAAGTAATACAGAACGGATACCCAAGTTATAGTTCCTCATTCTGGAAAACAGTTGACAAATTGCACATTCATCGTTTTTTTTTTTAAGGCATATTCGTTGTCAAAAAAATCGCATATTTTATCCTCAGTGACCATAAGGACATCTGTCAAAGATCGGCCGTTCAAGTGGTTTATGATTACTGCCGAGGATCCAGATGTTGACAAGAATATCTACGATTTTGGTACCAAGGATGTAGATGTAGGAATCTTGAAGACATTGGACACAGGACATTTATCTCGGTATAGTGAGAGCTGCTACAGTACTGTTGAAAGCACTGACTTTTCAGAGAAGAGTAAAATTGAGGTAAAGGATTTCTTTGTCTAAAATACTTTGATAGCAATGGACACGAAACTAACAGTTGGATAAGAGTTTGCAGATTTGCTGGCAATAGTTTTCCGAGCATCTCTCAAAATTATTTACTTCATCATCATCAACAGCCTTTAATAGTCCACTGCTGGACATAGGCCTCTCCTTACAAAGGAGGTTTTGGCCTACTATACCACGCTGTCCAGACGGGTTGGTATAGGGTTTTTGACAAATTTTTCCTTCTCTTTGCAGTTGTCCTGCGTAGTTTGCTCTCTAAGTCGACTCTTACGACACCCACCTGATGAATAGGGGTGGTTGCACTCCGTATTCTTTATCCGTCACCACACGGATTATTTACTTAAATTAGCCTAATAGCTAAGTTATTAAAACTTATTTTATGGTGGACTTAATCAAAAAGGGTGCTTATTGATAATGTTCCCTACAAAAAAGATATAACCAAGGCAGGAGCTAAAACTTCCCTCAAAAATAAAAAAAAACATTTTTTTATGTAAGAGGGGGCAAACGAGCGAACGGGTCACCTGATCGGTCGGGTCGGGAAAGCGACTACCGCCGTCCATAAACGCCTGCAACTCAGGAGTCACAAGCGCGTTGCCGGCCTTTGAGGTAGGAATACGCTCTTTTCCTGAGGTTCCGGACCGATACGACCTTCCTGGTCGTATCGGTCCGGATGTACCGCAGACGATAAATTGGTCCACAGATTGGTTGGGCGAGGCAAAAAGTGTTTTGAAATGCGCTCAGTGGTAGAGTGCCAATTATCCAAATTGTGATTATGAAAATTTGGCCCTGTGGAATGATGGCAAAAAGTTGTGGCCGGTATTACTCCAAACAATTCCTTGAAGCATTCTCCATGATATAGACAATATCATTGTCACTTTTTTTTTATGTTAGAGGGGGCAGACAAGCAGACAGGTCACCTGATGGAAAGTGACCATCGCATCTGACACTTCATGCCTGTTATCCTGACTGCCGTCCTACAGTCGTCTGCTAAGGCAGAGGGTTCAATTCCCACCCAGGACATAAGTTGTGTGATTAGTTTATCATACCTATCTCAACTGAAATAAAGACAACTGTAGTTACATAAAAAAAGTATATTTGAAAAGCTATCAAAGCCGGTCAGCTTTTACCACCTGAAGGTAGAAAAATGTTACGAAAAAGATACAAGCCAATCCTTTTCAATAATCTTTAATCCGATAAACTACACCGTTAGTCGTTTGGGAGTGAAGGGATTTGTGAATCTTAGCAGTCTTCGGTGTATTAAAACTTTAAAACAATTGGTCAGTCATAAGTTTACCGTAAGGCTTCCACGTAATCCCCTTACCAGGGTAATGTACCTGAGCATTAATAATGAAATAGGCTTCAGTACTTCGAACGTTATTACAAACGTGTTAAGATTACGTTTAACGGGGTTTTTTCTAGATTTAGGATCTTGTTAGAGTCGCCGAGTACCCTGTCGATTGTACCCTATCATACTGAATCATAGGATAATAGTACGTTTTATAATTTACTTTATAGTATAAGGAATTAGTTGCTTACAAAGTAATGAAATAGCATTGGTGTCTTGCAATATTCTATGTGGACCGGTCACTTATGTGATTCTTTCTACTGAGGCAAGACCACCTGTAGGAGCTGGGACCGATTCGCCTCCATTATACGAAGAGTCTTGGACTTATGCCTTACGATGACAATGGATTCTATGTCGCATGGCGAATTCCAGCTCGGAGGCCCACCACTTCAAAAGAGATTGTGTGGTACCCTCTAATAAACCTGATAGTCATAATATACCGTTCATCCATCCGTAGCAGCAACATTGCAGGTCAACTTAAATGCCGGCTAAAGACACCTTTGAAAAGATTAAGTTCAAAACCCCGATTAATTAAATTCCATTATGAAATTTCTAACAATGTATTTATTTCCTGCTTAGTAGCTAAGTACCCGATAAGATTTCACAACTTAGGCATCTTATATACCGTGCCATAAATAGAACTTATGTTTCCCAGCGGTATATTACGTTGTCAGTTCACTGGGTTTTCCTGTTAGGAAATTTACCCAACGAGTCTCGAGGCATAAGCTATGGCAGCAACAACAGACTGGTTCTAAAAAAACATAGAAGACGATTGTGGAAGCAATACTTAGTCAATAAAAATCAGAAATGCGCAGAAAAAGAAATTCCCTTCTCTACGAATTTTGGTTCTTTGTCAGTACCTAAGTAGGTAATATTATTATCTAACTTTTAAGAACCTCTGCATATTTACGGGCCTGTTTTTCCTTCTGGAATCCGTTGAAAGTTAAAAGTTCCGTTCAAAGTTAAATTCTAAACCATTCATTCCATTGCATTGGAAATGTAGCTTCTAGTTATTAAAACAATCACTTCTTAAGGAAAACTGTTCACTGCTTACAGGTCCACTGGGTTTCTCCGAAACAAAGTTCACGGAACCAGACCATTCGTTTAAGAGCGACGGTAGCCGAAAACAACGAAGCTTGGTACGAGGGAGATGACCTGACTATCGTCCTTTACAAGGACAACAAGAAATCTTTAGATAGTCCACCCACTGAACCAATAGAAACCTGCAATCTTTGTAGTGAAGCCAGATATGAAGTGAGTTCAAGTGAAAAAATATTAATACCCCATTACACAGTAGGTACGAGTACCAATATTAATGTCAGTCATTATTTGCTTAAAATGCTAAATGATTCACAAATAATATCAGATTAATATCATTACCTGTAGGTATAGTTACTTTAGAAATGGGAACACCCAAATACTCCGAAATATTTTATTCTGAATTTCGATGTGCCGATTTAAAAAAGTCCGAATTTCATAATACCTAGGAATTATAATGCCTATTATTAAAATTTACGAAATTTATTTTACCGAGAGTCGTAAATGCGATTTGTTTTTAGTCTGATTTTTATACCTTCGAAGAATCAAATGCTCGATGGATTCTCGGTCCAGAAAACGACATTCCGATTTTCAATACTTCGAATAAACTGGCAAAATTAGGATCCTGATTCAGTTACGCATATAATATATTCAAAATATAAAAATAACGTTTAATAGAAAGAAAGAAAGAAAGAAAACATATTTTATTTCTAAGATACACAAAATGCAAAAAAAAAATGTAATGCAAAAAAGGTTAACATTGTTATTAATATTTGTCTATTAATTTTTTTTTTGTGTTTTCTTCTCCTTCACCTGCGTCGAGTACCATCTACTGTAATTGAATTCTTTGCGTTATGTTATTCGCTCGCCTCTATTGTTGGTGAATCATTTGGGTTAGGTTAGATTAGAACTGTGACCAGCGAAAGAAAGTTTTTTTTTACGAAAGAAATTCAAAATTTTTGATGTTTCGATTTATACTTACAAGTCGGACTTTTTTTAATCGATCGGAATCCTAATTATGAAAATCGATATTTCGAAACTCTTATTTGTGACTGACGGAATTTCGTATTATAAATTGTACCATTTAGAAAATATGGCAATAGTTCTAATGAAAGAAAAAATCCTTTTCAATGTTTTTGTTTGCTTTATTAATTCGTTTTTGGAAACTTACACGATTCGGTAGAATGTCTTCGGCTTTACCGTTGTGAAAATAACCAATGTGAATGCTATATTTAAATTTTAGGTAATTTTTGCTGGCAAATGGTCCCGTGTCGCTCATCCTCGTCTATACCCCAGCAAACCTGATGAAAATGGTTACAGCCACATGGTGGGAGCTTCTCATGCATTTGATTATACTCTGTGGGAGCAAGACTCCGAAGCCAGTGACGGTCTGAAACAGTTGGCTGAGGGCAACACGACCGCACAACTTGAGAATGAGATTATACGAGTGGTAAGAAAAAATACAGAATGACTTATTTATTCTTTATTTATAAAAAAAACAATCTAGTTTGATATAAATCAAATCAATCTACTTTACAAAAAAGTATTTTTGTTTACCTCTAACCGTCTAAGTATAGAATATATGCAAAAGAATACAAGTATTTTCAATAAAGTTAATTTATGTTATATTAGAGTGAACTATACTACATACTTTATCATATCGCAAAATCCATGATATCAGCTCACGGGTTTTGTTACTTCGGCCGCACATGAGATAGGCGCTTGTAAAGTGGGCAGACAGTTTTTCTCACCTGGTAGAAACAAACTCTCCCACGACCTTGTAAATACTTTGCATGCCAAAGTTTTACGCTCCTGATACACTGATCAAAAATTTATTCGATGGCCAAAACGTGTATCGTAATACGTTAAATAAAGTATCGTTACTACGTTATTTGAAAAAAGTCTTGTTGCCTTGTTTGCCTCCTAAAAGCACAATTCTTTATGAAAATATCTATTCAAAATAGAATATACTCGTAAACAAACTTGACCTGTAAAAATTTCCACCGAAACTTAAAATTAGATTCCGATAACAAACAACTTAATAATCCTTTTTCAAACGGTATCAAAGTAATGAATATTAAAACTGATAATCCCAATAAATATTAACTAAAATGCTTCAGGAGATTAACGATCTAAAATTGAGCATCAATATTTAAAAGTTGTAGGCATATTAATCGCTGAGGTCGTTAATCTACGATGTATTTATGTATCTCTTAACATTTCAGTTTCAAACAAGAGCAATTTGTGTTAAATATGTTATTAATAACATGAAAGCAAGAATAGAAGCGATAATCACCAATAAACTTGTCTAGTTTAATAATAATAATCCTAATTATTATAAATGCTCATGTCTACTTAACTAATCAACATGTAATACACTCTTTGTCGGCTGTACAAAAAGAACTTTAGGATATGGTTTACCTAGGTTAAAAAAGACAAGTTAACAAAGAAAGACCCTTTTAATTGATTCACGAAACAAATAACCTTGTTTAGTAACGATGATATTAGATATTTATCACCTTCAATTAAAGAAGATTAATTATTATTCTCCCAAATAGGTTTAGTATAATATTTAGTAGGTATATAAAGTATTTCCTAAAAATACATTATTACTCTACAAATATTTTACTTTTTTTATAAATGTAAATTCTCGAGAAGATTCTCCCTTCGGACGTTCTCATTTCTGCTACACTTATCTTCATAGAGACTAAGGGTCTCAATCTATCCAAAAATTCGACACAACACAAATGTTAAGCGTCATTAATGTGGTCCTCTTAGACCTATATTTATGTATGCCAACAGTATCTGAGAAAACTGCAATCACAAAAGTTGCAGAATTACTTCTACTTACTCTGTTGTTATTTAATAATAATATTAAGTGTTAGGGTTTATTGATTTGGAATGATAAACCTTCTGACGACTATAGAGACTTGTTTATCACTACACTTAAAAACGTTCAACTACACTAAAGAATGATTACTTCTATTCGCTTCAATCGTTTCGATGTTTATCGCACTGTAACTCGAACTGAACTGAACTGAACTCATCGAATAAGACGGCCTGTATTTATACAACTGGTAAAGGATCATTCTCGCAGACTCTTGTCCCTACGAGAACTGTCCGCTTCTGAGAAATACAAATTCGTTTTAAATGTAAATTGTATGGATATTGATATAAATATAATCGTACTCATCATTCCGTGTCACCCTGCATTACTATTAAAACGATTCCCGGTATTGCGCTGTTAAAAGATTTTTCTGGTTTCCGTGATGTTTCGTGACAATATTTTCCTTGTTATAATCGGAAACAAAAATTAGACAAAAAAGCTCAAGTACTTTTTTAAACTTGTACAACAGAATAGACAGCATAAATATTAATCGGTACTATATTAATTAAACTAAACTAACAAAATCATTACATTATCATACTTTATTTTTAATGTAGAATGAATGAACAGATGAAATAAATTAACTTTAATGCAGTTTGAGTCCTACGTGAATGCGAGGCACGCAGCGCCTTCATAAAATCTTTAGCAAACTTAGAAACATGTATTCATTTGATTATATGTGGCGCTTTGATTTATTAAGCGAAAGTCATTTTAAAAACGTCATACGTAATTTGTACGACTGTATATTGTTTTTTCAGCATCAGAGATGATCCTAATAATTTTTACCTATGTTTTAAAATAGCAATAAGGTTGAAAGTGTGTCTGTTACGCATTCAATGGCCTTTTCTGGTTCTATCGCATTTGAAAAATGCCATTTACACTTTTTAATCTTTTTATTCATGAAGACTATACTAATCGTTTTTTGTAACATAGACTATGAACAGTGCACGCAGACATTGCAGATCTAGGATCTATACGCCAATATTTATGTTAAAAAGCTCCAACAGTTTTTGTTTAAAAATTAAATAAATTGAAAGTAGACCAATTTTAGTTCGAATTTTGCAGTGCATAAACAGCAGATTTCCACTCAGTGGTACTTCTAACGAAGGTATTATGGCACGTAACTAAGCATTGTCAACTCTGTGATTATAAAGCTCCCTTTGACCAGCTCACTGTCTATAATAAAATCTTAAATCAGAGTGTACGAAACGTCCTTCTTCATCCTATTTAGTAAGACATTATGTTTACATATTAGTTTCACATTTTGTTCACCTGTTGACCAGTATTAATGCAATTGCCATGCTTACATTTTCAATCTTCTTAGCTACTTATTAGATTATATTTGTAAAATTTACATATATTAGGTTACGCAGTGACTTCCATTTTCCATGTACTCTGTCAGAATAATCGTGAAAAAAGATGTAATTAACTTTGTATATACTATACTATGTAATATGACCTTTTTGAAGTTTTACTAAAATATAATAATATAATATTCTTACACATTTCACACACGGCCGTCTGATCCTAAACTAGGCAGAGCCTGTACTATGGTAACCAGACTGCTGATAAACATACTTTTATATTTCTAAATACATACATATAGATATAACTACACCCAGACACAGAACAAATGACCGTGCTTATCACACAATTATTTGTTCTGGGTGGGAATCGAACCCACAACCTCGTCGACTAGACCAACAGGCCAGTCGTACAGTGTGCAGTGATATATTATTATATTTCATGAGCAGATTCTATTTAAAATAATTTTGTTTTAAAGGATTTTGCAGAATGAATAAAATGCAAATTTTCTATCTACTCCTAGTTTTTATAGATAAGTTAGGTGTTTTCAATCCCACTTTGCCTGGCCTGTTGTTAAGTGATTAGTTATCCTGACAGAGTGAGTTCGATTTCAGCTCACGACAAATTGCAAGCATGGATGCAAATTATCTATTATAGATATTGTGTATTTAGTGTCATATCAGTATCAACAGTCTGGTAACAATAGCTGGCAGGTATGGATACTATGGAACTGCCTAATATGGAATCAGACAGCCGTGCGTGAGTTGTCAAGTTATTATAACAAATAATAACGTAACAATCTCTATTTCTCTTCACGCGGCCATTAGGTTCGTACGGAGTTACCACACACATTTCGTCGTATGCGGCGACAGTCCTTTCACGTTTCCCGCCTTTTGATATCCTGGCGGATTTTTTTTTTATTTATGGACGCGAGGGTCAAATCTTGGAAGAAAGGGAGGTCACGTCACCTACCGACTGACGCAGGTACTCACTGGGCATGTTTGCTTTGGTGAGTACCTGAATCGGATTGCGAGGAGACAACACAATACCAGCACTGCGCAACCGACTGCACAGCACTGAACGCTAGGCCCTAGTCGACCAAAACAAACGAGACCTGTCCCCGGCAGCAAAAATTGCTGCCATGCTTTCGGGTGAGGAGGGCTGGGGCGCACTGGTCTCTTTCTGGGAGGCTGTTATGCTTCAGAAAGAGATCGCTGAACGGGATCGGGAGAGGGCCGATCCCGAGCGTAAAGGACCGGAGGCTGCTAGAGAGTGGACAGCGCCTCTGGTGGCAGATTTATTACTGCGGTAAGGGACATGGGGGCGGCCTAATTGCACCAAAATGCGATCGGGCTCCTAGATTAAGTAATCAGAGGGAATCTTCTGGCTTCCTACGGGATAGGACCTAATAGGTGCGGCTTCGATCCGCGGGGGACCTGAAATTACATGGTCCGGGGCCTCCTCAGAGTAGGGCGCCTGAGACCGGCCTCTGGGTGGCTTTTAGTGGAAACACCACATACTCCTGGCTCCTGCGTCCCCTAGGAGCCGGAGATTCGAAGGGATTCTCCACCCGGTCACCAAAAAAAAAGGCTGTAGGTATACTGTAGGTGTAGTAACTTTGATATTCATTGAGAAATGGATCATCTGAGTCTACTTGTTATTTTGTCGTGGATAATAGATACATTTTTTAAGCAAAATAGATGGGAGATAATTTTCTTTTACCCTTGAAGTTGCTTCTTTAATTTTAGATGGGTGAAACGAATGGTACAAGAACGTTGATTCGTGGGAAACGTCGTCACCATCCTTTCATGTCAGAACCATCGCATGCTCTCTTCAGGGTGGACAGATATCACCACATGTTTTCAATTGTAGTCGGTATGAGACCGTCACCAGATTGGTTTCTGGGTACGTCTAAATTCGAACTTTGTACTAAAGACGGATGGTACGAGGGAAGTACAATACCTTTGTATCCATGGGATGCTGGCACCATGGATGGAGATTCATATGAGGTGAGTTTTAAAGGAAGAAAAACACTAGTAAAATGGTCATTACAGTTTCTTGTATTTTGAAGCTGCGTGATATCGAAATCCTGCTGAAAGTCCGTTTTATGTCACTATGCTTTCAGGACAGCTGTAATGTACAGGTTTGCTTTCTTGGTATAAAATGGACTGATTCAGGATCACTCTCGATTTTCAGCAGCCTCCATTAAACTAAAGCCTTTTTTGTTTGATTATTATATTTGTTGTTCTTTGAGTGGAAGATTAGGTATATTTGATATATACAGCATTCTTTCTCCTTATCCTTCTATGAAATTTAATCTAGATAATATAGATAAAATATGTAATGTAATGTAAAAAAACTGTACTATCTACTTAGTTATACTTAACTGAGGCGGTTTCCGCTTCTATGTGTGATGTAAGGCGAGTCTAAAACGTGAGCAAACTACCAGTTTACCAGAACAGTTCTAGTGGTAATGAATAAAAGTACCTAGAAATGCAACCGTATTCTGTAAGACTGGTTGTGTAAAGAAATTGTTGCCGACTTATCGGCTTCCACTCCGTTCCACTCCAAACCCTTTTCTAAAAACGCTTATAATCCTTTATAGGTATGCACTATATGGAGGATGGAAAATGATCGAAGTAGCACTAGCACTTACAATAAATAATGTATTTTTATAACGATAGTTTTTAATGTCAGCTTTAGAATTTTGAAAGAATTACTGTTACAGGATTATAGAATATGTTAAAAGAGTTCAGCTGTCAAGGTTATAAGTATACTCATTCTTCACTTGATGACTTGTTTTAATACATTTTTTAATTAATTGACAGTCAATGAGGTCAAAGACTAATCCAGAAGATACTGTAAAAAGAGTGGAAGTAGGCTCCTTCAACCGCAACTCGCCGTTCTATCAGATGAATTTGAACGACTTGAAGCCATTCGCATGTCTTACGGTGAGAAGGCTGGATGTGTATCCTGTTCTAAACGCAGATTGTAGCGAATCTGAAGAAGGTAAGTAAGTTTTTATCTTTCCACTAGCAAAGAACAGGAATATGTGATCTTTTGTGACTCGACTCGAAATTTAATAAGTTTTTTTTGTGAATTAAAAGAGGCCCACCATATAAAACGCATAAAACAAAACAAAAAGATTTTAATGATGAAGAGTTTGAAACTTTGTTATGCATATGAAATGTTCAGAACAATTGGGAGGGACGTAATCAATGTTTATATTTACCTCTTTTTAGCCCGTTATCTAAATCAATCTTTTATCACTGTCTTACCCCATGCTGTGTTAGGGTGATAGTCTTTCATTAAGTTTACATAAGTAATGTTGATTATCGTAGTTCAGTTACAGTAAGTTTTAAAGATTAGTGTAAGCTATAAGAGTATTATTTTTTGCATTTTTTAGAAGTGAACGTGGACGAAGAACAAACGCAGCCAGAAGAAAAAGACGGAGAAGAAGAAGAGACAGAAGAGTATGTTTTCATTGATACATTTTGTTTTTTTATCGTATAAGGCAAACGGGAAGATGAGTCACTTGACGGTAAGACTATAGGCGACCATGGACGCCTGCATCTGAAGAGCCACAAGTGCGTTGACGGGCTCTGCCTGACGAATAGTGTGGAGGTTAGACCTCTGGCATCCTCTGTCACTCGTTGAAAAGCCACTAAAGAATAGCTTGCTCCGTTTTCTGTGAAGCCGTGCTATCACTCCCATCCTCCTATCAACACATCTCACTAATCTTAAAGAAAAATATATAATACATCCTTAAAAACGGCGTGAGGGGTCTATGGACCCCCGGTCCATAGACCCCTCACGCCGGTTACAGTTAGCAAGGAGACCCCTTGGAAGTAATCAATGGGTATTAGTTTTTAAATTTAAATAAAATACAAAGTACTATTGCAAAAGTATTTGCAGGTAGGATAAACGTATCCCAATAAAGTTGTGACATAGCAGTGTTTTTAAGGCTTGAAGATGTGTCCAACCTATCAAAATATAAATTTAACAACCTCAAAAAAATACAATCCGTTGATAAAGGACGCCTTCCTACCGGTTTTATAAAACTTATATGCATATATATATATATATATATATATGTATGTTTATATATATATATTTAGGATTCAGAATCACAAATCAATAAAAAAAAACAATTATCTTACATGCTAGAGATCATTTAATGAACTAATAAAATCTAGAAACTAATAATCTCATTTATTGAACACTCTCATAGCATAAATTTCAAAATAAAACACCAATCACTTATACAAATCAACTGTTATCTACTTACAGAGTTTTATAAGGCTTTTCAGCAATTGAAATTATAATTACAAACACTCACAAATCGCGTCGACAACTACCGTTCCGTACCGAAGCCAATGAGCAAATGAATGTTTTTCGGGCGTGCACCGCCTTTTATAGGAATCGTCTTTTATTAAAAATGAGTTCCCTAAATCGGCCTATCCTGACAAAGCGTCGTCCTCGATGCGGTCTTCATGGTGCTCGGCTGGTGCTGGTCCCAACAATGCAGCTGAAGAGTCTCCACCAAGCTCAGCCATCTCAGTAGCGGGTTGAAGTGCTATTGATGGTGACCCTGTGTTGGGGTCACTTATTTCGTCCTCTGAAATATGAACGCATCTTAGAAACTGCAATAATGGTTTTCATAGTGTAGGCTACACACAACATGCAATTTTTAAGAAGGCTTATAACTAGTGAGAGCTCTCAAGATTGTGTCCCTGTTTTCTAGGCCCGCGATGCTTTTACTGATCCAATGCTGCACCTGTGAACAAATCAGACAGAAGGCGTCCCCTCTGTCTGAGGTTGACGGAGGCATCTCTGAATCGCACGTCAACACTTCGGTCATTTAGTTCATTTAGACCAATACCTCTCGCTATAGGTATGTCTATTTGGACGGAGGCATCTCTGAATCGCGCGTCCTTTATGCATTGCAAGCAATCAGTCATGTTTGTGTGGATGGAGGCATCACTGAATCGCGCATCCAACACAAAGTTCATCGTAGACCCATACCTCTCGCTATAGGTATGTCTATTTGGACGGAGGCATCTCTGAATCGCGCGTCCTTTATGCATTGCAAGCAATCAGTCATGTTGGTGTGGATGGAGGCATCACTGAATCGCACATCCAACAAAGTTCATCATTTAGTTAAATGCATTTACCACCTGGCAACGCAGCCTGCCAGCGGAGCGCATAAAACCTATTCAATACTCACCCTCAAAAAAGGCTGCACATGATTCGGGACACCACTCTCCGTTCCAGGGTATCATGTACTCAGCAGCCGCTTGTGTGGTTTTGCCATATGAACCGCTGATGAGTTTCAACTGGTAGCGACCACTAGGTAATACTTTGAGCACCCTATACGGTCCGCGCATGCCAGGGTCTAGTTTTCCTGTGGACTGAGAATATTTAATTACGAAAACCAGGTCGTTAACGTTATATGCGCGTGGTGTTCGCCGTTGCCGGTTTACATGAGAATCTTGCTTGGCTTGATTTCGTGTCAACAGTTGGCGAGCTCTTGTTCTGCACAGCTCTCGCCAGCCCTCGTGGTTTTCGGACATATCGATGGCGACGTCACGTATTAGCGTTCGAACGATAGGTGTCGTGGCGTCAGTGCCCACTAGAAGCTTCAGTGCTGAGGCTTGTGTGGTTTTCTGCTTGGTAATGTTAAGAGTGAGTTGAAGTCTCCATAGTTTTTCTGACCACTCCGCGTGTCTATAATTGGTTTCAATACGGATCATGTTCAGAACGGTTCTGACGTATCTTTCTACCTGTCCGTTAGCATTGTGCATCTCAGGTGTTATAAAATGGATATCACAACCAAACTCGGTCAACAGAGTAGAGAACTCTGAGGACTCGAACATTCTTCCGCGGTCAGCGACTACAAGCTTAGGAACGCCAAAGAGTGCAATTGTGTTACAGAACGCGCGTTTAAGCTCACTAGCATCCTGCTTACGAATCGGATATAGCAAACAGAACTTTGTAAACGCGTCTACTACTAGCAAGACGAATTTGTAACCGTTAGATTCGGGTAACGGACCAAGTACATCTATATGCAATGTTTGGAAAGGGAGACCGGGTTTTTCCCAAGATGTAATCGGTTGGTGAGGGGCTCTGGGTACACGTTTATTGGACACGCACACAAGGCAGTGCTTTATATACTTTACTACAAATTGGCGAAGTCCAGGAAACCAAAAATATTTGAGGATTAAGTCTATGGTTTTCTCTGCACAAATGTGCTCATGCTCGTCGTGAAAAATTCTCAGTAAACTTAACCGGTGTCCCTTGGGGATAAAGCAAAGTAGTCTGGCTTCCCCACCCACTGGTGTGTATCGATAATAAAGTAGCTCATTCTGCCGCACATATCGTTGAGGATCTAATTCTCCGTCCTGCAATTTCTGTAAAATGCACTGTGTCTCATCGTCTGCCGACTGAGCAATCTGTGCCCAGTTGCGTGGTCTAGAAATCTGGTGTACTTTGGTAGTGACTGGGTTTCGACTTAGGTAGTCAGCATGTGACATCATGGTACCTTTCCTATATTCAATACTAAAGTTAAAATCTTGTAAGTAGATCCACCACCTAGCGACGCGTGGGAGCAGGTCCTTCTTCTTTTCAGTCGCCTTGAGAGCATTGCAATCGGTAACTACTTTAAAGTTTATTCCTACCAGATAGTGACGAAAATTCTGCAATGCTTTCACGACCGCCAGAGTTTCCAACTCGTAAGAGTGGTACCTGCTCTCGGCACCCTGTGTGGCTTTACTGAAATAGGCGACCACGTGCTTCTTACCGTCTGTCTTCTTCTGCATCAATATAGCACCATAGCCGACGCTGCTAGCGTCGGTATGTACTTCTGTAGGCAGGGACTGATCGAAAATGGACAATATTGGTGAACTAGTCAAACAACTTATTATCTCTTGCCTAGCATTCTCTTGTTCTATACCCCAACAGAAACTTACATCCTTTTTCAATAAACGTGCTATGCAAGCGGTTTTGGCTGCATAGTCTCGGATGTACCTTCTAAAATATCCCGCCAAACCCAGAAATTGTCGTATTTGTTTCACGTTACGAGGGACCGGTGCATCAACTAGGGCTTGAATTTTATATGGGTTCGGCCTAACCTGACCCTGACTAACTACGCGCCCCAAGTATTCGACCTCCATTGACAAAAATGAGCATTTTCTTAGGTTAATTGAAAAACCCGACTTGGTTAACGTTTCTAGCACCTTTTTTAATAAACAAAACCCTTCATCTACACTGTTACTCATACACAGGACATCGTCGATATAGACCAGGACGTTGCCAGTCTCGATATGGCCGCGAAGGGTGTCGTTAATAATTCGTTGATACACTATGGGCGAATTCGTCAGACCATAAGGCATTCGGAGATACTCAAAATGTCCTTCCGGTGTGACAAATGCCGTCTTATGGATTGAACAGTCTTCAATAGCAATTTGGTGGAATCCTGTGGCCATATCAAGGCTGGTGAAGTATTTAAAGTTACCTAATCTATCTATGTGATCGTCTATAAGTGGTAGGGGATACCTGTCTCTAACAGTTAGACGATTGAGTGCTCTATAGTCGACACACATCCTATCGCTTCCGTCCTTTTTCTTTACCAGTATGATAGGACTTGCATACTCAGAATTAGACTCACGAATAATGCCTTTATCTTTTAAGTCATGTATGATTTCTCGGACTTTAAGTTTCTCCGAATGTGACAGCTTGTAAGGTCGGTAAGCAACGGGTGTGTTATCAGTTAGTTTGATAGACATCTTGCCGGTGGTAACAGTAGTCGATGCAGTGCCCGAAATGAAGTAACTAGAGAACTGCTTTATTAAGGTTGTAAGGCGTTCAAGTTCGTCGCCCTTAAGAGGTGTATTGATCTCCGGGACCTCACCGACGGATACCGCGTGGACGTTCCCCTTAACGGCTCGAGTTAGGTACTGTCTGTCTTTGGTCCGTACGTATGTGATACCATCACGGTTTAGGATATCAGTTCCTATAATAACGGGCGTAGTCATACAAGACCCTGGCACCACTACAAAGTCAGCCTCAATAGAAATATTATCGAACTCAATCGTTAGCGTTACAAAAGAATCCGCATGTATGGCAGTGTCGCTAATTCCCTTCAAAACATAACTCTTGGGTTTCCGTTCACATGCGAAATGTTTCAATGCATCAGAGGAAACCAATGAGATGTTTAAGGCACCACTGTCAATTAGAACATCCACGGGGATGCCCTGTATAACCGCAGTTGTAAGGTCATTATTTTGTGGGGAACCAGCCACTTGTGTGCTACATAAATTAATATTTTTCTTATTCCGAGAGCCTGACCTTTCCTTAGCAAAACACACGTCTTCACTATGTCCAGGTTTTTTACAAAAATTACAGACTAATTTATTGGCATTATTAGTGGTAGGACTAACGTTAGAAGTATGGTCGGTTTTTGACTTTTTGGGACAACGGTGAGATTTATGCCCACGTTGTTGGCAGTTAAAGCATCGCAGATTCAATGAGCGATTAAGAGACATTGGTTTAGAAATAGAATTTAGATTCTCAGGTTTGGTGCGGGTAGGTTTCACATAAGTAGATAAAAATGAAACTAAGTCATGAATTCCTAGTTTAGCATTAGCGGCCGCAGCCCTAACCTGAGGATCCGTAATGCCGCGAATAATTATTAACGTTATTAGCTCGTCACTTAGTCCCCTAACAATTTTAAGACGTAATAATGTCCTTCTTGCATACTCGGCGTACGTGCTGTATTTATCGGAGGTGACATGCATCGCATCATATAGGATATTCGCGTAATCGAGCTTTTGTGGACACAAAGGTTTGAATTCTTTCACGAAATTGCTCCACGTTCGGTCGCTAGTTACCCACTCGTTTAGCCAGGAACGCGCGTCGCCCTTTAGACACAGTGATACGCGTGATAGGCACTCTGAATCGCCCCAGTTATTAGAAGACTTAGCGCGTTCAACTTCCTCACACCATACGTCTATATCATGCATAGTTGGGTCAAAGTTGGATACAAAGTACTTTTGCGTTCTGTCTGAGTTTACAGATCTAATTGCTTCAGCTAATACTCGTGCCGACTCCGATAATACTTCGCGGCCGTCCGTTTGAGCACTCGATCTCTCAAGTGTTATACTTCCAGATACGGGCATATTTAACGTGTTGCTAGAACTAGGTATCGGTGTTTCAAATGTCGGCGCTGTAACCTGAAGAGCCTGACTATTCTGCAATTTGCCTAGCGGGGGCGTGTACGAGCTTACGGTCACAACGTTTTGAACTGGCTGGTTGTTAGTCGTGTTACGTAAAGGAGAACGTTCAGCTTCTAGTGTATTTAAACGTGACAAAATTGATTGCAATGTTTGCTGCATGGCCCCGTTTTGATCACAAGAACTGTGATTTGACCGCGAACGCATTCTACTTCTGGATCGTGATCCGTACGGAGAATAAGTTCGACTCCTAGAGCGAGTTCTGTTCCGAGAACGAGACCTATACCGAGAACTACGGTCCCTATCGAGTCGACGCGACTTGTTGCGAGAGTTATGCTGTACATCAGCCATATTCACACACAAACAATAATTAGAAACTAGAAAATAAGCAGCTAATTGGTGTTTTATTTCCCCCCTATTTTTTTTTTTTTTTTTTTTTTTTGCGCACCAAGAGGGTACTATCAAAATAAAACTGTGGACGTGTTTTTTAAGATTATCCCACTTCTGAATTTAGGATTCAGAATCACAAATCAATAAAAAAAACAATTATCTTACATGCTAGAGATCATTTAATGAACTAATAAAATCTAGAAACTAATAATCTCATTTATTGAACACTCTCATAGCATAAATTTCAAAATAAAACACCAATCACTTATACAAATCAACTGTTATCTACTTACAGAGTTTTATAAGGCTTTTCAGCAATTGAAATTATAATTACAAACACTCACAAATCGCGTCGACAACTACCGTTCCGTACCGAAGCCAATGAGCAAATGAATGTTTTTCGGGCGTGCACCGCCTTTTATAGGAATCGTCTTTTATTAAAAATGAGTTCCCTAAATATATATATATATATATATATGTATAATATATATGTATATATATATGTATGTACATATATATATGAATATACATATATATATATATATGTATGTTTATATATATATATATATATATATATATATATATATATATATATGTATAATATATATGTATGTATGTATGTTTATATATATATATATATATATATATATATATATATAAACATACATGTATCGTTAATAACATATATGTATGTATATTAGCACATCACGTCACACGATCCTCACTTAGAACCGTAGGTATGCAGGTACATAAAGTTTCCTATATATACATCCTATTACTCCTGTAAAATACAGGGATTTTAGCTTGAGGCTGTTAAATATTAACTTCCCTTTCGAAGGTTTATTCTTTGAGTAAGCTTGTTTTTTAAATGTAACAAGTTTTAATATAAAATTATGTATTCTTAAAAGCCTAAGAATTTAAACATTTATAAAATTTAAGTAACATCAATACTTAACCAACATAGATTAGGTACTTTGTCAAAACTTATGACGATCATCTTAAAAAAAGATACAATTTGGATTGAGAACTTCGGTTAAAGTTAAAAACTCTTATACTTTTCTTCTCTTTTCTAGAAATAACATTACAGAAAGGTTGACGAAAGTTTTTTTTTGCAGGGAACCTGAAGAGCCTGTACTGGCAGAATCAAAACAGAAATTAGAAAGTGCTGATAACTGTTACTTGGGCACTTGGGGAGCATGGTCACCATGTACCCCTGATGATGGCATTTGCGGCAACGGTTTTAAGACGAGAGCGAGATATCGAGGAGACAGAAATATTTACTTCGAGAGCTACAGCGTAACTAGTTTTTTTATTTATTAACCCTTGAACTTACTTAAATTATGAAAATATATATCCATTTGATGGATATAGACGTTTTATGATATTTTAAGCATAGTTATTACTTACTGATAAGCGTACTTACCTTACTTAACTGCAATTATAGTAACGTCTTATACTAATTGCTAATTATCATCATCAACAGCCTTTACTAGTCCACTGTTGGACATAGGCCTCTCCTTAGAAAGGAGGCTAATTGCTAAACCCAACATTCATTTACAATAATATTGAGGTTTATGAGAACTCGTACTAACAATCGGAATTATGCAACTAAGAAAACGTAATAATACTTTTGGCTTCTGTTTCTCTAGCTAGGTCTCAAGTAGCCATCTTTACTTTTTGCATTTCGAAACAGTGAGCCAAAATCTGCCTAGTACCCAGGTGTTGGAGACATAAATAATAATTTGTGGTGGTTTTACACTTCTGCAAAGGGTTTGGTTTACACCGGGACCGTAACGTTTAGGTACTATGGTAAAGTAAACGCAACATTATTCATTGTTCCAGAATCAAGATAATTTCGAAGCGCAATCAAAGAGCAGTAACTGTGAAGGAAGTCAAGATTCGAAGTTAGTGGAATACAAAAATTGTTTCAAAGATTGTTATTAGATCGCACGTTTGCAATAAAATTACATACTAGAAATAGTCTAAACTGGTATTTTATTTCTGTACCTAGACTGAGTAGATTACAGGGAACAAGCTCTGGCCCTCGAGGGATCTTGTTTTCTCGTTTTTGCGCGAAAATAACTGGTTTAAAAGTTTGCCGGCCGGCGACACTGCGAGCGACGTAGCATGATGAAACTCGCGGGCGGCGGAAGACAGGGGAGCCGCTGTCAACATTGTTTGGTGCTTGTCTTGTAGACTATGAAACATGAATATAGGCGCGGATCGCGCATGCTCTGAACACAATGAGCATACTGGACGCAACGGCCCGCCTCGCGCGCTATCGCAACTTGTTGATTGTTCACTCACTTCACGGCAGTTGAGTCGCGAACGATGCGCCGGGTGGTCGCGTCTCGTGTACGCACCGCTGTCGCTCCGAACTTCGAAATTGTTTTACGAAAATATGTGAAGTTTCCAAATTCGGAATTGTGCAAAACTTCCGTTACGAACGTGTCATGTAGTGATCGACTGACGTAAGACGTTATAAATAAATAGTTTTTAAGTCATTGAAACTTATTAGGCTTACTCGTTTTACCTGCATGCATCGTCCCACGTCTGAGCGGTTACCTACCTTATCGGATAAACGAACATTTTTCAAATGGATGTGCGCTTGAATCCTGTGATAGTGTGCGTGTTTTTGTGATAGAAGACTTCGTGAGAGCGTAATAGCAGATTGTGACAAGTTTTTACTATAGTGACGTGCTAGAAGTAGTGGTACGAAAAAGTTGAATTACCTCAAGAAACATGTTCGTGCGCGGGAGCGAGGGGGGCATCCTTGCCGCGTTGTTTCTCTATTCGCTAGCGGTGGCGTCGGCGGAGTACACAAAAGGTAAAAACTGCTTTCTTACCTGTGTATACGCAACCCTACGTTTGTCATGCTTTGTTCTTGTATTGCCTTTTGTTCGCTTCTTGGAACGACTTTTGAATTTTAAAATGAGAATATATAATGACGTCATATACAGGTTTTTAATCTCAATGAATGTGTGAAGTCTTACGATGGTCATGAAATAGTCATATTATTTTATATTCCACATTTGATAGTGAAATTTTATAGTTTACTTTATAATAATCTTAAGTAGTATCTAATGATAACCGTGAACAGTTCCTGTTTCTACAGAAAGTCGAATGACTAAGGCTAAATAAATGACTATATAGTACTGTGACAGGCGGTTAATAACGGAATTTTATGATAAGCTTGGCGCGCCACACCTATCAACGCTACCTTACACAGAAGTAAAGATAAAAATATTATTATTAGTAATGATTACTCAGGTATACAAACAGATAAATATGTAACTATAGGTACAAAATATAACCTATATCATATATAGATATACTCACTAGCTGTTTTTAAAGGGGTTTCTAAAACAAGTATGTATAGATATTTATTTGCCATAGTTACTAGTCATAAGAAAATGTATCTTTTGTCCAGTGACTGTCTTTATTTTAGTGTTTGTTTCAAAGTTTTACAAGTTTTTTTTTTACGTTTTTTTTCGACATTCTGTGACACGTGAGATCTATATAGGACTATCCGCACTGGCGGAAAAAAAATCGCGCGAAAAAATAATCTGTGATTTGATATAAAATGATTTGATACCTACCAACTGTACATGTTCCCATTATTTTTATTAGATTACAGAAAAATATATAATAACTATTTAAAAAAAGTATAAACTAGGTACATGCAGTTAGTAATTAAAATTTTTTACATTAGAATTTTTTTAAATTATTTCTGGTACTGAGTACTCAACCATAAAAGTATCATTAAGATCGGTATAGGTATAATTATTGACAAAAATATCTTCTAAATACACACACAAGCGCCTACGTATAACGTACGACCTCCTAGTAAAGTCTGTTGATTAATGAAGTGCCTACTTTTAAATAATTTTACTTCTTTATTTATCTACTAGCTGACCCGGCAACCGTTGTATTGCAAACAAAAAAAAATTAGGGATGGGTCACCCTTACCATTTAGGGGTATGAAAAATAGATGTTGGCCGATTCTCAGCCCTACCCGATGTGCACACAAAATTTCATGAGAATCGGTCAAGCCATTTCGGAGGAGTACGGGATCGAACATTGTGACACGAGAATTTTATATATAAGAAGTACTTTATAGTACGTGAGAATAGGAATTCGTTTTCATAAGCACATAATAAATGTAAAAGTAAACTTTACATTGTCATTGTAATGTTTTTAAATTTGGTCGGAAACATTAGTAGTCTCCTTGTTTTTCCGAGCTTTTTGCGAAATTCCGTTTCCAAAACCTAGAATGACTTAAAATTGTGTTTAATAAGTGAAATTGTAAATCGATTGTACTTAAAATAAAGACTATATTTTTTAAGTTAAAATTATAAATATATATTTTTCAGATTTTTCCCTGTACTTGTAGTATAAGACGATGTTAGGTACTTGCCAAATTTCATAGTCAACGGGAAGTACCCTATAAATTTTGATTCCTTTGACAGTGTCGAAATATGCGTTTTTTTGCGGCATACACGCCCGTATCTTTTTTTTTACGTTAACTTAGAAGCTTAATTTTTTCACATTGCCAAGGGACTGCAGACATATAGATTAGTAGGTATATGGTTTTAATTTCAATTCGATACCTACACGCGTTGCCGACGTTGTTATTGACAGAAATATAAGACGGACGGACAACAAAGTGATCCTATAGATCCTTTCCTAAAGAAAAGAGTAGATATTTGAAACCAAACAGCCTCGTCTTTTTAGGGTTCCTCAAAAGAAAAAAAAGGAACCCTAAAAAGGAACCCTTCAAATATCTACTCTTTTCTTATGTCTACTATCCAAATAATAAATATACTAATATACTAAAGTTAAAGAGTTTGTTTGTTTGTTTGAACACGCAATCTCAGGCACTACTGGTCCGATTTGAAAAAAACTTTCAATGTTAGATAGCCTATTTATCGAGGAAGGCTATATATGCATCATTACGCTAAGACCAAAAGGAGCGGAGAACCAATGAAGAATGTGGCAAAAACGGGGAAAATTTATTCCTTTTAAAAAACGCAGACGAAATTGCGCGAGTCAGCTGGTATGTAATAAAACATAAAATTTTGACAACCGTTGAAAAAAAACTTGCTTTGTCATTGTTATTGCATATGGAGGGGGGTTTTACTATCTAGAGGAAGATCTATACAACTTAATCAATTTAGTTTCGTGGCAATCATCTATTGTAAATGCTAAAGTCCCTAAATTTGTTTATCTGTTACGCTCTCACGCCTTGAGTAGTCAACTGATCATTATGTTTTTCATACACTTTATCAGGGGTAACAAAGGTATCTAACGTTTATCCTACAATTAAATACTGTTCCCTAGGGACAGAAAATTAATTTTTAGAAAAAGCCGCAGGCTTATTAACTTCTGTATAAGAGATTGTCGAAATGAAATTTAGATTTTCTTATTATTAGCGAAGAGTAATTTCCGTCAAAAGCCAGCTAATGGGCAGATTATGAAATATTAAAGATCGTTTTGCTAAAGTCATATATGCCTTGGACCTTGGTGAAAGGTGATCGTGACCACTCTATAGACAGCCTATTGTGAGTTAAAATTAACTCCGCCTCTCGAACTGTGTTCTGAAAGCATTGACAATCCCCCGTATGGGTTATGATGACCTAGATGTATTGTGTTGATGTGGATATTCTTGTTATCAACCTCTTCATGTCTCTTACTTAGATTATCTTTCTTATGCATGTGATAAATGTATATTATATCACATATAAATGTTATATTCTGAGTTTGTTTACTTATTACGCAAGTTGGCAGAGGTAGGCACTTTTTATAAAGAAAAAGAAGGCATATAATAGTAACTTTAACGTGAACGTAACAACAAGAAATTGTTGTTGAGAAGACAGGAAAAAAAGAAATCTTATAATCTATTGTCGGTATAGGTTAATTTTCCATGAAGGTGGCCTGATTTAACGTAAAACGATTTTTTTCTTGATTTTTCAAAGAATTAAGTATTACCTTGTTTAGTGTAAGTACATTATTGACATTAACCTGCTTTTATAGAACACCAGCGTGATGTGGTGGTATACACCTATTTTTTGTTTAAAAAAAGTACTTAAATGAAGAATTTAAATAAAGAATAAGATCAAAATAGGTATGCGTACTATTTTAGGGTCTCGCAGTGGTTAACTCGCACTTGAGGCGTCTGAGGACACTCAACGCGAACATTCCAATTTGAAGGTTTTGCAAGAAGTTCTTGTTTAAACTAAGTGGAAATATTTCATTTAATTAGTTAAGTTGCTTGTACTATAACTGTAAAATACAATTGTAAATTGTTCTTATCTTGTTAAAACTTTCAATACCTATTAATGCAACTTTATAAAAAAGATACTGAACTGAAACAAACTGGTTTCCACGTTTAAATATTTGTAATCATGGAACAAAAGGAACAAAAGTTTAAAAGTTAAATTCATGCTTCAACGCATTTATTTAAATTAAGAATCTAAAACTGAATAAGTAGGGTTAAAGCAAGTACTTGAATCGACGAGCTACTTATTATGTTCTAGGCTTAAAAGCACAGACTTAGTTAAGGCATATCGAGAACAATAGCTACTACCTACTAGCCCGGCAGACTATGCAAAACTCACGTCTCGCTTCGAAGTATCAAGCCGTACCTTTCAATAAACCGGTATAGAAAACTTGGCTAAGCGAGAATTGAATGTTAAAAATTTGAATTGAAATAGGTACTTAACTTGTTTGTGCAATATTCATAACTTACATTTTGTATGAAAGTTTATCCCAAACTTTGTATTGTTTATTCAAAACAGTCACATTCGAAATTTCGACCCTCTCATTGTAACACGAAACACAACAGCCCGACCAATAATAATTTCCTGTCCCTCACACAATAAGCCATTCATTAGCCTTAATTTATGCTTCTTGCTCTCACCTCAAACACGACAATTTAAATAACT